CCACAGGAACCAGGGGACCGAAAATCAGTTCACGATAAAGACGAAGGGTGCCCGGCGTTCAGGGCTTGTGTGAGTTCCTGGCTGCACCCCAGGCGCGCGGGGTCGCCTAAGGTAAGTCATCTGGGGCTCCGGTTCCCCAGCTGTAACACAGGGATAATACTTCTGTTCTCACCTCAGTTTGTCTTCTCTGTTTAGATTTCAAGCTCCTCAGGGCTGTGTCTTGCTACATGTATGTACAGTTCCTAGCTTAATAGAGTCATGATCCAAACTGAAGCCTCCAGGCACTCCTGTATATTATATCATTACTAATTTCACAAGAGGTTGCAATCAAATTCCTTTATCGGGCAAAAATAAAATCCATGAAAAGAATAAAGCAAGCTATTAAAAACTGAGGAACATTTTTGCTGAAGTGCAAATAATGGTACTTTGTCCCAAAATGTATAAAATATGTATTGCAATTAAATTCTCTATTGGCAAATTGCTCTACAATTAAAAAACACAGAAGCTTGAGTGAGGCAATTAGAATAATAGTAGAGTGTTAATTATAGCTTGATGGATTCTGCATGCTGTCAGCAATTACCTTCCAAGTGTGCACTTCTGAACCGACTCCAAATCCACAAAAAGACACCGGCAGAATTAGAAATATCTTCCTTGTTGGCATGCCTTTGCCATTTTAAAATTTGTTTTCATAAATACTTTTGTAAGCTATTTAATTAGACTTAATGAGGTTTGAGGAAGAAACATCCTCCATGCTGTACACAGGCTCCTCTCTAGCAAAGGCATGGACTTGGGTAGGAGGGAGAGCGCGACCGTGAGAACAGTCTCCTTTCCTACCGACTGCCCTCACTGAATTATTTTCAGTGCACAGTGACCCTGTGCAAACGCGAGGCGATTCAGATCGGTTTCCAGGAGAGCTTCTTTCAGATATCTTTTTTAAAAAGGTTATCTAAGGCTTTCGGATCTCTCTCTCCATGGGAAACCCCATGGCCGGCCTCTCATCCTTGTCACAGGGCAGGGGAACGGCGGAAGGGCTTTGGGGATAGGCATTGCGATGGCAGTCGCACGGTGTGAGGTGAGAGTCCGGGTGAGATTAACTCAGCGGGGTTTGAGGTCAGAGGCTGCGTGAATAATTAAAAAAATATTAAAATTAATTATTAAAAGTAATTTAAAAGTTTGGGTGTCAAGCTTGAAAACTCTAAGAGAACCAAGCATTTTTTATTTTCATGATGCTTTCCCCACTAGGCAAGAGTAATCCGCTCCAAAAAAGTGCCTTAAACTTTGGGTTTCCCATGTTGAAGAATTAAAGACGTATTTTTTAATTGGCTATATGCTTGTATAAGACTGCACTATCTTCTGTAATACATCTACCCTTCTTGCCTCAGGTTCTCTCCCCAGGGACAGGAGCTCTTGCTCTTAGTTTGCAAACAGCTTTCAAATAAATGAGAGGACTAAACCTTAGCCATTCTCCTCTTTTCTCCAGTTCTTGAAGGCTGAAATAAGACCCCAAGCCACAATAAAGTGATTTTTTTTAAATTCCACCCCCCCACACCCCTTGGTGTAACAAAAGCCTAAACCCCAAGTTTTACCTAGTGAAAGCTCCTGTCTATAAATAATGCCTATTGATTCTTCCTGGAAAGATTTAGGGCTGGCCCATGCTGTACCTGCAGTGTCTGTGCTGAAGGGTGTGCTTGTCACCAGGGACCCAGGGCACGGTGGTGCGGGGCTGGGGGAGTGCGGGGGTCCCGGCCACACTGCCGAGGGCACCGGCACCGGTGAGCATCACCCGGGCTGGGCACGCCGGGTGTTTGGTCCCTGGGAAGGTATGAGTCGGTCGGACAGGATGCCTGATAGTCCTGGTTGCCTGCCCCCGTGCTGAGCGGGGAGAAGCCTTTGCAGAGATGGAGTTTTCTATTCATCGTTAATCTCTGCAATCTGATACGTACAAAGCTGTCCCAGAGGCCAAACAGTTGCTGTGCAGGTGGACTGTCAAGAGTACATAGGGAAGAACAGGGAAATGCTACGCCAGTAATAACTAACACCGCTTCTTGCAGTTTATGGTTGAGCTTTTGGGTGGGGACGTGGAAATCATAAACTCTTCATCCTGGAGCAAGATCAATAAACCGTCAATAACTCCCCTATCAATAAACCCAGTTTCTACATTTCATACCATGTCATCTACCAAAGCTAAACCTTCCTCCCTGAGGATTTCCAGACTCCTTTCCCTTTTTCTGATTTCTCTTAGGTATGATTTTTGTACGTGTATTTTTTCAGCGGTGCACATTGCGCATAGTGATCCCAGAAGCCGAAGTAGGCAGGAGGCACAGGGGCTGTGGTATGTTCCTCCCCACATTGCTCTCCGGTCCAGTGGATGACTCGGTTGCTGTCTGTGGCAGGCGGCTGGCCACGTAACCTAGAAGATCCCTGTGCATTATGTCAGATGGAATTAATTGCTCCGTTGATGAATCTGTAAGAAATCTAGAAGAAAAGAAGGAGACTGGGCAGCAGAAGGGAAAATCCTCATCCAGAGTGATAGCTTCCAAAAACGTGTCTCCTCTCACACCTTCCCTCACGTCATCGAAGTAGCATTTCATCATCGTGATCACTGACCCTGCGGTAGAGAAGGGTCTTGCAAGGTGTTTGCCCAGTTTGGGGTCCACAGGAGGGAATACTGAAGCTGAGCCTTAAAAAGCCCCAACTCTTTGTCACTCTGAAGGGCTGGCCTGTCACCTCCGTTCCTCTTCTGTCAGTTGATGATGACGCTTTGACGCAGTGCTTCTCCCTGCTGCAGGTTCCCACACACGGGTATGGAGAGCAGACGTGACTTCATGCTCCTCACGAGACTCGGGGGGCTGCCAAAACTCCGAGTCCCGCGTGGGGAAGAGACTCTTCAGGCTTTGACACCGGGCTTTTGCAGCCTGCAGGGAACCTGTGGGCCAGACCCAACTTGTTGGGTTGGGTTTACCAGCAAATTTGACATCACTCCTGGTTTCTGATTCAGCTGACCCGCGCTGTTCTCTATCTGCCACCAGTCCAGGTTTGCCGCCTTTCAGGAGGTGGCATGTTTGTACGCCTCTGAACAAACCTGAATGCAATTCCCCTCGTGCATGCTATTTTATATGAAGAGATGCGTGGCTCTTGGAAGATGAGCAGCATGATTAAAGCAGCCTGCGGTGCAGTGCCCCGTCCTATTACAAAAAGGAAATACAGCTCCGTCCCCACGCTGGGGAGCAAGCCGCAGCAGAAGGATGGAAATCTAATCCAAGGTACTGGAAGTGGGATCGGGCTGCGTTATGTGTTTCTCTCCCTAAAATATCGCACTTCCATCTCCCCGCGTCACTCCTGGTGCAAGGCTGGGCTGGTGCGCGGGGTTAAACCGCATTCCCACCCGCCGTGGGTGTGCTGAGCCCACCGAGGGCTTCCTCCCCTGAAGGTTGTGCCAGCCACAGCCGAACTTGACCAAAGCCAGTTGGATGCTCTCGACTAAGCTCAGGAGCAGCCTCTAAATTCAGTCTTTGGAGCGTATCGATGCTCTTGGGTTAATTTTGCCCCTCATGCTCTCGCTGCAGCTACCTAACGAGTCGCGCTTCCACCCCTTCTGGGCTGTGTGCGCCCGTACGCCTGGTGCGTGCTTGGCTTTCAAAAATAGGGGTAAATTTGGTAAGCGGAACCCACCGCTTAGGTTTGATCTGAAACACGTGTGAATAATTAATCCGCTCTTACGACTGACTGGTGGCGGGACACGCGTGTCCCTCGGGGCTGTGGCCCCGCAGCCGCTTCGTGGTGGCTGGGGAAAAGGCACATCGGGAGCCGGGGGGCCCCCCAGGCCCTGGTCTTGCAGCAGGTTGTCCACATCTACGGAAGGAAGATTTTTAAATCGCCTTCCCCGCGGCGGAGCGGGACGGGGGAAGGGTGAGC